TCTCCACCCGCGTCTTCCGCGTGGTAATCCATGATCGGCGGCTTCTCTGTCTTCGCTTGGGCATCCAACGCTGGCAGGATCTTGAACGTCGCTCCGACGACCAGCTAACGCCACTCGATGAGCTCGGCAGCAAGCAGTCGCTGGACATCTCCGACCAGAGTCCGGATGGAAATCGGCTCCACCTTGGACACTCGCATCTCCACCCAGGTCGGCACCACGTTAACGAACTGGAACCCGGCCTCGAACAGGAGCGTCTGCAGGACCGCAACACACTCCCGCGAGTCCAGCAACCCAGTCGGGATCTGGACTCCAGCCAGGTCTTGGGCAGTCGACAGGTCTCGACGGCTGGGTGCCAGGTCGGCCAACCAAACTTCGGTCGGGACCTCCGAGGCCACCTTGGACGCCAGGTACTTGGACGTCGCAAGCGTCGCGGTCAGCCACAGCACGGAGTCCGGACGGGACTCCGGCCAGGCGTACTCCACGTTCGGAGGAAGCGTGAGCCCAGACCGGGCTCTCTCCCACCGGGACGCCTGCAACACCGCGTACGTCTTCGCCGCTTGGACACTCGGGTGCTCGGCCGGCAACTCCGTCGACGGGCTACCCCGGCTGGCCTTCACCGAGAGTTGGGTCTCCGGTTGGGCATCAGCGGCCGGGGACACCGCCTTCGCAGGGACTGCGGCCGGCTTGTCCTCGCCGGCAGACGGCGTCGGCTTGGGTTCGGCGGACATCTTGGCCAGGCAGAGAGGAGTCCCAAACTCGACCCTCCGCCTGGGGCTCATCCACGTCGGCGCCTCCCTCAGACGCCTGGTTGGGTTCACCCTGGCCGGGATCCCCCTCTGCGGTCTTCGACTCCTCGCCCGCGTCAGCACGTTCGGGCTCGCCGTCCTTCGACACTTGGTGCGCGTCATCTGGGACGGCCGGCTCGGGTGCCGGCTGGACTTGGTTCGAAGACCCATCTCCGGCCAGGGCCGCCTTCCGATTTTCAGCGTTAGCCCTCCATGCATTGCGTTGAACCTCTTCCAGGCTCGGTTGCTCCTCGGGCGGCAGCCCCGCCGCACGACGCGATTGATGCGACGCCTCTCCGCATCCTCGTCCTCCGCGCCCTCCTTCGCGCATGTCTCCTCGCTTAGCTGTCATAGACGCTAGTTAGGAAAGTTAGCACATAAACTTACAAAATATAAACAACCCCGGTGAAAACCCTTAGTTCGAATCCGGGCACGCGCACCAGCTGAGGCGAGGCGGGTGAACGCCTGACCGCCCAGGTGTATAGCTTGGCGCGTCCCGGGTGTAGACTCCCGAATGGGGTGCACCCAGAACAAACCCTAGCCGGAGATAGTACACCTAGATGTACACTCCAATCGGGGTGGCGTGTGTCCTTGTGAACAATCCCTGTGGGTTCGTTTGTCTTCGTAACCAGGGGTCTTCAACCGTGGATGAGTTGTCTTGATACTTGTAGGTCGCTAGGTAGCAGGGCAGAACGTAACCTTCCTGGACGTCGCCTCTGACAGCCCTCAGATAACCAAACAATACAAACAGATACAGAGTTATATACAAACACGTAGCCCTTCCTTATTCTTTTGGACCGTGAAAGGGTCGATCACTACTCCAGTCAACTCCAGCCGGACTCCGGGATACTGGTCAATCCCGGTCGGCTTTGGCTCACGCGCACCACCCTCAAGTACTGAGGGAAACTAACACAATCTAATACCTCGTATCACACAATAGCTCTTAAATAAATACTTCCCACCCGGGGCTACTCCAACCGGGGTGACAAGGTAATCGGTAATATGAAATGCGGGGCCTTCCTGGTCTGGACGAGCTCAACGGCAACTAGGAAATGAAATGGGATGGATCAACCTCGGGTTGTCGCCCGGTACTCACCCCAACTTGGACTGGACTTGGTTGCGGGAGCTCGACCCAGATGTCACAGTCCTCACGCGTAGACTTAGTCAGTCCTCCGGGAATGCACGTCCGGTAGGCTGCTCCAACTCACTTGCGCGATCCTTGGCAAAACGAACTCTGTTTATCTGTTATCTGTGGTCTCTCTCTGTCTGTCTGGCTATCTTCTGTCGATCTTTACATGCACTCCATCTTGACTTGTCTTCACTATGGTCTTGTCGTCGCAATCGTCCGCGGCCCCTCGTAACATATTTCCAGCAAGTATAATCATCACTGGGTACGCAAGCGAAATTCAATTTTGCACGGAATCCGAACAGATCTTGGCTAGTGTCGGAAACATCTTGGACTTTGTATACTGGATCTTCACATCTGGGATGGGATCTTGGTATCTTGGTATCTCCATTCGGGATTCATGATTATCTCCAAACGGGATCACACTCCACTTGGGCTTCACATCCGGGATGTCTTGGACAGCTTCACGGTTTCTGGGTCTTCACTCGATCCGATCGGGCTCCTCTTGCGTTGCACAGTGCACCAAGAGCAGGCGGCCTCCAGTCGGAGGCACTTCTACGCTACCTTGGGCTTTGCCTCTCGTTCAGTACTTGGTTCTAGCCGGGGTCCGCTCTTGGGGACATCTCCATCTGGGGTCACCAAACCTTGTACACTGCCAACGCAAGTCCGGCCGGGATCCGCTCTTCCCATACGCCACGTGTCGCTGCCTCCCTCTCCCATAGTGAGCCTCTGAGCCAACCAATCACAGGCGCGGCTCGGGGAATCCTCGAAAATCTCCAATTCCATCGTGTCAGGCACGCACAACGGCAGGTATCCAGCGGCAACGTCGAGTCGACGTTGAAGGACGGAAGCAGGACGGCGAGCGGGCGGCTGAGAGGCCCGCACACTCTAAGATTAGACGACTTTGGCACAAGTGGTCAGGGTGTGCGTGCTGGAGAGCACGTAGAAGAAGGTGAACAGGACGTGCTGCACGAGCGCGACCGAGAACGTGTACGGAGAGAGCGATATAGAGCCGAAACGCTCTGTTGCTACGACTGAGGGCGGCATTGGCACGAACGAGCGGGTCGCAGGCGGTACTCGACACTATCGTGAGCACTCGGACAGAGGGTCTGAGCTGTTCCTGGGCGCGTAATGCGGGATCTGAGGACGGTCAATGGTGTCGGTGCACGTGCAGTAGTAGTTCGGACGGTAGAGTAGCTGCTGGTGAAAACTAGTGTCTATTATTTGGTATTAGGAGTAGTTCAGGCTATTCCTCGTAATAAAATAGGAGCGGACACGACGGTGGACGTTCCGGCAGGGGGAGATCAAGTGATCTCTGACGGCCAGTACGGTGTTGAGAAGTAGACGACTCGCGTGCGAACTCGCACCGTGAGCATACGACCTGCCCAGCGGCTCGGGCAAGACAAGTGAGCCCGCTTCACAGCGAACATAATACATTTACTGGTTGCGTCTGACGAACCAGGGCACCGAGATGGCTTACAGGTCCGATCCAGTTAAAAGGGGTGTCTCTACGTCCGTCACCACTATTGGATGTTCAGGCAGCGGGCGGCCACGTCTGACGGGGGCTGGGACTTCGACTATGCGAAATACCAGCGCACCAAGACTTCCAGCGAGCACATGAACGGCTCTGTAACGGCGTGGACTGCCGAGGACTGGTTGCGTCTGACGAACCAAGCAATGGAGCAGGGGATTGACGCAGGGAACGACGAGAAGGCTGGCGACAAGAACGAATAGAACAGTAGCGAAGAGAACGCCGAGATGAGGTGGAGGAGGTGCTAGGGTGTGGACGCTTCTGCGGATCCTAGTTTGCATATTGTTTTTCCTTTTTTGTGGGGCCTTTTGGCTCCTTGGGCTGCTACCGCGGGAGATCCCCGTATGCGGTGCTCCTGCCGTGCGCGGCTCCGGGCGTAGCCAGCCGAAATAACCGCTAATTTCATTTCATTTCAGTGCAACAACGTACCGGTGTCGGCCGCAAAGACGACCGAGACGGGGGCGCTCTTGACCTTGCCGACGTTCGCTTCGATCATGCCGCCCGCCAACTTCTCACGGTCCTCCTCGGAGCACAGCACGATCGCCACATAGGCCGGTGTGTTGATCCGGTCGGGGCTCGCTACAAACAGCACCACTTCCTTTCAGCAGCGCATCGATTTAGTTCGTGGTAGATTGGTCACGCCTGTGTGAGCTTGAGAATCTCCCGGAGCGTCTCGTCCGGCACGGGGTCCAGGCCCTGGACTCCAGGGCAGGGAAGACTTACAGGCGAAGCGCTCGCGGATGGCAACTCCTGGTTGTTGGGCCATCTTGTACATAACATGTACTTGTGTTGTGCTGTGAAAAGCGAATCGAAAAGTGATGTAGGAAAGAAACGCTCCGAGCAACACAGGACATAATCAAAGTGTTCGTGTGCGCTGAGCTTGGAAGCATCGCCGCGCTTGTCGATTGCTACCAAGATCATCAACTGCACGCTGTCACAAAGCCAAAAACGAGCCACAAACACGACCGAGACCACGGAGCACGTGTAGCCATCGGATAATACCAACCTTGGTCACCAAGTTGCTGCGGTGGACTCCACATCGACCGAACAGGACCGCAGAGCCGATCCGATGTTACGGGTGTGGGGAACCTGCAACGCAAGTGCGAACACAAGAGGGGAGGTAGAAGCACTGTGAGGGTTTCAAGGCATGAAGACGGACACTTTGGGTGTTCGATTAATGCATGTAGGCTTCTGTAGGTATAAAAACCAAAATGGAAGGCCGATCTCACTCAAAAACTCAAAAACATCAACATGTGCTGTCGTTTTCGCAGTTAGGTACATGTACATTGATGTCGCTTGAATTCTAACGAGTCCCTATGACGCATCCGGTTTCGCTATCGATGCTCAAAGGAAACGAGAACAATTCCATCAGCGGCCTTCCAATCACTGCACATCTAACGCGATCATATTTGCTTCGGGCCGCTGTTATGTTTTCCACTACATTGGGGGTCAAACGAAGTTTCATGAATGAGAGCTTATGCTATGACCATCAGCTCAGTCCGATAAGGGACGAGGAGAGCGTTGCCCCCAAATGGTCATGCAATCAGCCCCACTAATGCAACGTCGAATCGCCCCGCGGACCTGTTACCATGTTTGCCGCCAGAGTAGCAACCGACTCCTTGCAGGGTCTGGTGTAGGTCTTAAACGCATCGGAACCCCAACGGCCGTGAAACTGGATCGTGAGTGCATCCGTGCCAGCTCGGTACATGTGGGTTGCTCCGCCCGCTCGTAGAGAATGGGAGCTGAAACAGCGTGGGTCTTCGCCAGTGCTGGTAGCCGCCCGCTTGATAGCTTCTGACACATCATCCGTCGCAATGCAGGCCGGTTTTCCGCAGCGGTCCAGGAACACTGCAGTCGGTATATCAGTGGGTAGGTGTTTCCGGACTTGGAGAAGGATCAAGGCACCAAACACGGGGCACAAGAATGGGTGTCCCGAGCGCGACAACATCCTCGTTGTAGGAGAGCCGCCTTGGTTTGTCTTGGAGCCGATCAGGCGCATACACACCGACTGTGCCTTCGATGGGGACAGGGTTGGCTGGCCTTCCGCATCCAGAACCGCGATGTCTTGAGCTCGAACAGCAAACCACTTGAACGAACCGCCAGTAATTGCCACGATTTCCGACCGCCGAAGGAGAAAAAAGAACGCCAGGCACATGACGCCCCAGAGGGCTTGCTCGAAGGGCTCAGTCATTGAAAGGTTGCGGAAGCACACCTCGAGGAGTCCGATTGACACTGGTGCTTTCCGGCGCGGAGGTGAATCGAGACGGCTGATGCCCTTGAGCAGCATACGAATGTGCGGGTGTGCGATCGGAGAGTCATGACCGGATGCCGCGAAGAAGTGCCGAACACCGATGAGCACGGCCATGATCGCGTCGCTGCGAATGGGACCCCCGGACCCGAAGCCATACCGCAAGCCGTGGAGAATAAAATCCGAGATGTGCTGCACTTGAGCAGCGAGAGGCATGCCCAAAAGCGAGGGTGCAATGCCCTGGCGGGACGTCCAGGTCGTCCACTTGGTCAAGGCTCGGCGGTATTGCTCGAACGTGGAGTCGGCAACGGAGTGCGCTCGGAGATACGCTGCCAGATACGATCAGACCTTGAATATCCACTGTCGGCGACACCTGCGACCATCCGGGAGTTAGTGACGAGAATTTGACCGCATACGATGGGTTAGCGGCAATGCGGGAGCCAGCGTCGGCGCGTTCGTTGTCAGAGCCGGCCACGTGCGACACCGAAAACCGAAGCTGGAACGAAGTCTCCCACCAGCTAAGTAATCGGATAATCACTTGAGCGCGTGAATTACAGGACGCGAGCCTGTTTTGCCATGCGACCGCAGAAGTGTTGTCGATGCGAAATTGAACGTGGCGTGGGCGATCGTTGCGCGAGGCACCGGAGCCCCACCGGCGTCCCCATGCGTGGACCGCGAAAGCGCACGAGAGCACCTCCCGAAAGTTGATATCGAAGCCGTTGGGCGTGTCATCCTTAAAAGCCGCAATCAAGGCACGCTCGCTGTCCGAGAACTGGTACGTGAGGGCCACTTGCGATGATACATCCAGCGCGCAGAGGCCATAATCGGACGCATCCATTTCGACTACAATATCGGGTACTGGAAGAGCATTGAAGTATTCCAGCGACACGCCGTTCAGGCGGGGAGTGTGGAGCACACACCACCACCATATCAGGTCTTGTTGCATGTCCGGCGTAATCGGAACACGCTGAAACCGCTGAAGATAACTTTCGCGTCGGCGCAGACGCTGGAGAAACGGCCGTGCAGCACGGATGCATGTTGCGACGTGCCGGAGGCTACCCATCAGCGACCGGTAGGCTTGCCTTGAAAGTGATGAAGCAGAGTACGCAGCCGCCACAATACTGCGTGCCTTGATTATCTTCTCCGTTGGCATCGAGACCGTTTCCGCCACCGTGTCGAAAATGAGGCCCAGTACACGTTGGCGCGTGTTCCAGCCGTGAACTTCTTAGTGTTGATAGCGTCAGCTCCCAGGACTGCTACCATAGCGTACCGTAGGGACCGATCAACGTCCTCGCAGGAGGTGCCAATGTCCGCAGCCACATTGATGTGGTCGTCAACCCAGTGATAATTGAAGACACCACCCGGGTACTCGCCAGTCGTGTGTGAACCGTGCACGTAAGCGACAGCACCACCAGCAATCTCGTAGAAACCCGGTGATCCAGTCTAACCGAATGGCGCAGCGAGCTCGATCACGATGACATCGTCCTCCTCGATGTGGCCGCCGAAAAGATACGCGCTGTTGCTGTGAATGCTGATGTTGCGGAAAGCAGACGCCACATCATCAGCCATCACACACACTCGGGCCCTTGGGTGAGCGCGCTTGGACCTCAGGATTTCGGCCGCCACCGCGTCGCAGTGAGTGTACTCCGGCTTGGTGATGCTGTCCTGATCCGTGTAGTCGTTGATGGAAGTGCCTTCGGGGTATGACAGATCGTGGATCGTCCTACCCGACACGTTTGCGTCCTCATTGCCCTTGTTCACCACCCCGAAGGGGCTAATAATCTCGGGCCATTGCTTGAGGAGATCGCGGTCGAGTACGAGGCACCGCCCAGCATCCTGCTCCTTGCGAATGTTCTTGCGGAGCACATTAAGGCGATCTCGCGCCGACCCGTGATTTGGTGGCCGCTGTACCTGCCGTGGAGGTGTCTTGCTTAGCCGAACTTCAACGCCGCCCTGCACGATTCTCTGGAGCTCTTCCAGATGTGCGTAACCCTTGCATACTTCGTTCAGCACGCCTGGGACCAGGTTCTTGTTAGGCCGGTTGTCATCGGCCGTCTGTCCGCGCATCAGCTCCACAAAGGCTGGCAGTATCATGCCCGACTGTCGTGCATATTCCGATAGCGCCTTTTGCAACGGGGTGTCCAGAAGGAACTCGGGTCCCGCCGCGCCTGGTCGCGACAGCGGATAATTGTCCGGCGGCAGCGCGATGCCATATTTTGCCATAGCTTGAGCAAGAGTAACTCTCCGAGACATCCGCAGTAAATCGCTCCGGGCACGGGCGTTCAGGTGCATGCCTGCAGCGGTCTTGACGCTGACGACGGGGCGCAGGTAGCTTGGCCGCGGCGCGATATCGTTGCGCAACTTGGCTTCTTCTAGAGGATGGCCCGTACTTCCTTGGTCCGGGGTACACGATGCCGACCCCGGCGAGCCGATTATCCGTGAGGCCGGCTGAGTCGCAGCGCTTCTCAACTCACTCCCACGTGGTAATGGACACCTAACATCTTGTGATATAGTGAGAGGTGACGCTCCACGTATTTGGTTTAATTGGTGTACCGGCTGTATGGCCGGCACTGGCTGTATGGCCGTGGGTGACTGTATGGTCGACCCGGACTGTATAGTCAAAGGTAGCTGTATAGCTGTAGGTGGCTGTATAGCCGACCCGGACCGTAAGGTCAAAGTGCCAGCGCAAGCGGTGCTAGCTCCGCTGGTGCCCTTGTGGCTACCTGGTGAAGTCGGTGTTCCGGTGGTGGAAGAGGTCGGACGAAGGGCAAAACAGGTGCTCTCACGGAAAATTTTCCGCTCGCGCGCCGAAAGTCGCTCGAGAAGTTCGCGTTTGACGAGCCAGCTTCCAGCGACGACATCTCCGACGACTCCTTGAAATGCATCACAGTGAGCCCACGTGACCCCAGACGACCACTGAAGATCGCCATCAGCACCGAAGGAGTAGCTTGAAACTTTACCGCCTCCAGCTCCCGCATCCATAACACAAACGACATCGCAGACAGGGGCTTACCTGTCTCCGTGCCGAATGCGCGGAACATCCGGGTCGCCGCCAGAAGATGAGCTTGCGGTGGGTTGTAGTCGTCCTTCGCCTTCTTCGTACCTTCGGGGTAGCTTGATGTCGTCAGGTACCGCAACTCCGCCGGCGGCATCTCCCCCTTGTTGTTAGGAGCCGTGGCAGCCGAGGGGTCTGCATGCAGGCGTGACGTGACGGCGACAGGGAGCTGAGCAAGCCCTTGCCCGGCCACCAGCGCACGCAGACGTTCCACCTCATCTTGCAGCTCTTGCAATTGCGCACGAACAGCAACGCCGTCCCGAGGGGCGATGTCGTCGGTCGCCACCGAGGCTTCGTTGGGGGTCGTCGCGACGGCCGTGCTCCCATCGACGGGCGCAACAGTCGCCACGAGCGCAGTGCCGGGCGAGAAGGAGGCAATGAAGGAGCTCAGGTCGAAGTCGCTGTCGGATCTCGGCGTCGGCACCGCACGTTTCGAGGTCGTCGCGGCCTTCGCTGGCTTCGTCTTCGCTGGAGTCGTAGTCTTACGCGGCTTCTTCGCAGGCGGCGCCGGCGCCTTGTCCTCCGAGTCGGAGTCGGAGTCGTGGCCGCCGTCGGTCACCGCTTTCCGTGGTGCCTCGCCGCTGGTCCCTGCCGTCGGCCGCTTGACCAGCTTCTTTTTGCCCTTGCGAGCTTCCGTGAGGGCTTCACCGGAGACTACCTTCGACGTCGCCCGCTTGCTCGTGCGGAGCGGGGCGGGGTCGGACGTGCGCCTTGCAGGCGCCCTCGCCCATGGTTCGTCCGCGCCCGTGACGTCCACAACATCAGGAGGGGCTGAGTCCGCGGCAGCGACGGCAGTCGGGCGCTCGCTGTCCGACGGGGCCGTCTCGGTCCTGGGCGATGGCGAGCTGGGGGCGCCGGCTTGGTCGGTGGTTCCACGGTTGATCATGACGTAGTCTTGAGAGGTTAAGGACCCCCTTCTTGCTTGCTTGTTTGTTGGTCTTGATTCGAAGTGAGGGGAGAACGCCACGCGTCCATCGGTTGGACTGTGGGCGGTCAGGGTTACCGGTATAATACCGGTATGTACCGGTATATCGAAAGTACTATTTTGAAGTGGAAAACACAATCCCCTGGTTCTACCATGGAATACAGCTGTATGGGCTCAAAGTGCAGTGAGGTCACGGTACGAATCTGTTCCTTAGGGCCTCGCGGCGCATCGTCGGATTCTCCTGATAGGAGGACTGCAACCTGTGCGACAGCTGAGCATGTAGCAACCAGTTCAAAACTTGGACGACTTACATCGATATGCTCAACAAGAAATATCCGGGCAACACCGTGACGATGGCTGGGGTCATCTCAGCGAAGTACGGAGATGAAGCTCTGGCGAAGATGATAGAACCGGCTATGCATGTCCCGAGTCAACAAAGGCTTGCGGCGAATTTGGTGCTGCAGCAACGGAACAACTGGGAAGCCGCTGTCAAGTCGGTGGACGATGTCTTCACGCTGCTCCGACTGGACAAGGCGGGGGACGACCTTTTCAAAACTTCGCAGATAAACAGGTGGTACAACTACGTGTACGCTGTGAACACGAAGGAACGAACTCAATGATGGTATCAGCCCTAACGGCTAGGTTCGGCGACGACGGTCTTGCAAAGGTCCTCCTTGCGGCAAAGCCCTATACTACACGCAAGATGAAGTAAATTTCCGAGCAACTGGAGGCTGCGACGCAGAATGAGTGGCTGCGGAAGGGACTCACTACCGACGACGTGTTCAACACGTTCAAGCTGCTGAAGCTTGACGACGGCGTGGAGAACCTTCTCACTAGCCCGATCTTGGGTGCCTGGAGCTCGTACTTGAAACGCCTGAACGGGGGCGTTGATGAGGAAGCAGCGATGGTCAAGACGTTCACAAAGTTTTACGGTAACGAGGCGTTGTCCAAGATGCTCGAGGCTGCGAAGAAGGTGTCTACGACTGAAACGATGGCGACGAAGTTGCAAACTGCACAATTCAAGATGTGGCTCAAGAACCGCGTGAAGCCGATGCATATCTGGAGCATGCTCAAGATGGAGAAGGCGACATGGATGGCCAACCCGAGCGCGGAGGTTTGGCGCGGATACAACGCGTTCTACAAACTGAACAAGCCACAGTAGTGCGGATTCGTTGGTGATGTTACGAGATGGATGAACTAAGTAACGACCACTTCTTGTCTTGAGACCTCGTGGCTCCTGCAACAGCGAGGGGAGGTCTAGTTTGTCGACGACGATATTCTTTGCGATACATACTAATGAATCCACATTGACGCAAATTTTCTCAATACAAACCGGTTTTGGTGCAAAAAACATTTGTATACGAATTGAAAAAAGCCTGCACGAGTTTAGTTTAGTTTAGTTTGTAGTTTAAAACTGACCGGGATGCACCACCTGTGCCAGCTTCATATATACCCTATAGCATTAAATACTGGCGCTTGGTTGCGGTTTAGAACGTATCTGAGATACGTTCTTAGTTCAACTTCTTACCCACTCCGACGCCGACATTCGCTTCAACTTGCCTTATACACTCAGATGCGCGTACCTATCGGTCGTCCACAACTGTACTGAACATCGCCTCTGTGTATTTGCTCGCAATGTCGAAATGGCATCGGTTCAATGGCCAAGCGAGTCGGAGACAGACTCACGAGCAGGTGAAATCAGTGTGTTGGTGTCTGTATTACGTGTGAATGATAACGTGTCACAGCCGTCCGTGATTGCGTATTATCATTCCGCATTCCCTGACCGGAGTGGTCAGAGTGCTTTACGGCACCTTACAGTACTCTGTGAGTTTACATGTCATTCATGCTGCCGATCCAACTGTAAAACCAGGTGTTAGGCATCGATATTCTACCGGTAGCTCCAGTACACTGTTTTTTTTTCTAGAGGTGCTGAACATGTTCCTGATGAGCGAATGTGCATACGTCGAAGACACGTGCACCTCGAACTTCGTACAATTCTGCAAGAAATGCATTCTACAATCATTGCTGGAGTGCTTCAACGAAGCACGCACGCGGTCGGTTGCACTGCAACTATTACAGGGGGGGGGCTTCCGCAAGCAGTGACCGAAAACATGTGTGTGCAACTTTCTCCCACGGGACTTTGATTACGACAACTCGATAGTCAAGGGATCTGGTCGAGAGCGCCCGGCACTGCTTCGGGACTTTCGTACGTCACTTTTCAATTTGCTTTTCGCAGCATCCCCCCCCCCCCCCCCCAACAAACACACAAGATGGCCGAGCAACTGGGAGCTGCGATCCGCGAGCGCTTCGCCTGCAAGTCCTTCCTGTCGGATCCCGTGCCGGACGAGACGCTCCGGGAGATCCTCAAGCTCACGCAGGTGAGAGACCCAGTCTACGATGTGCCGCCTCTGCAGGCAACGACTGACCTGATACATGTATGTTACTGCTGCACAGCGAGCCCCGACCGGATTCAACACGCAGTCCTACGTCGCCATCGTGGTGCGCTCCGAGGAGGACCGTGAGAAGTTGGCGGGTGGCATGATCGAAGCGAACGTCGGCAAGGTCAAGAGCGCCCCCGTCTCGGTCGTCTTTGCGGCCGACACCGGTACGTTGTTGCACTAAGCTCTTGATGTGGGCGAAGCAAGTTGCTTATGTTCGCTGTTTGTACGTGCCTCCAGAGCCCAGCAAGAACGTTGCGCGCATGCAGCAGCTCAACCGCGACAACGGCGCCCCCGAGCCTTTCGTGAGCAAGATCCCGGCCCTCGTCGAACTCTTCTCAGGAGAGCACGACCCCAACGTGTCCACGGAGGCGTGGGCCTACAAGCAGACGACGTTCGCTGCTGCCACCTTCCTGTACGCCGCTCAGGTGCACGGCCTCGCCACGTGCCCCATGGAAGGCCTGGACCAGGCCAAGGTGAAGCAGGCGTTGGGCATCCCGGACCGCTACAGCATCCCTGTGGTGGTGGCTCTGGGCCACGTGAACCCTGAGGCCAAGCCTGCCAAGCCGTCGGTGCGCTTCCCGCCCTCGGAGATCTTCTTCGACGGCAAGTTCGGCCAGTCGCTCGAGAAGTTCTTCGACGAGAAGTAAGTAAGCAAATAGGCAATAGGCCCGCTTGCTGTACATTCTAGCGCTTATAAGAGAACATGAATCCTTGGTGACACGTCAAATATTTGCTGCGTATGGTGACATTCACAACTTCCTCACCATAGAAAGCTGCTTCCAGTACAGAATCGGTAGCATTGTTCTGAAGCGAATGCGACAGTCAAGTGAACGATTGTATTGAACAGTACTACTACGCCGGATGGTAACGGAGCCTCTGTTACTGAGCTTGTTTTGCATCCCAGCCAAAAGCCTGCGCTCGGCTTGCTCACCCATGTTGCCCACTCCATCTTGAGCATTTTCCAGATTTACGCTGGTTCGACACCATCCTGGACCCACTGCTTAAATTGTGTAGCGTGCAACTTCTTCGCAGTCTCCTCAGTTTTGGGCACATTCCTCACAACCTCAAGCATATTCGAAAACGCTTCATCGCAGTAAAGTTTCGCAAACGACTTAGCATTCGCGCGGCTCTGATCGAATCTGCGTCTTTGTTGTTCACACGAAGTACTCGTAGTTGTACCATTACGTGTTGGTCAGCGGAGTGTGAAAGGGGGTTTCCCCGGCGAAAAAGCTTAACGACACCGTCCGCAGACTCGCCCCCATTTTCCCAGCGACGTCCGCTGCAGAGCCGCCAACCTTGCCGCCATACGTTGCTGGCTCGGGGTATGCATCGCCGCTTTTATCAACGTCGCCAAACCATCGCCCCGGGGTGCGAAGCTTGTCAACCGTCTGCGAAGTGTGATAACTCGGTCTTGATGACCAGGATTGCGTGCGTCAGCAAAATCGTGTACACCACATACAAATAATTCCACACGTTGAGACGCGCGCATCAAGGTCTCACTATCGAACTCGCGACAAGGATGGCACTGCGCTGCTCCCCCCGACTTCTGCGCACGGCGACGGCCGGCCTGCTGCGCCAAGGCGCCCCAGCCGCAGCCCAGAGCCGCTGCCTCAGCTCTGCCCAGAAGACACTGGGCGCCGCCATCCAGGAGCGCTACGCGTGCAAGGCGTTCCTGCCGGATGCTGTGCCGGACAAGACGCTGCAGGAGATCCTCAAGCTCACGCTGGTGCGGCGCCTCTTACATCTTGCTACAATATAGTAGTACAGTGACATAGCGGATCTAATGACATTGCATTGTTCTTGTGTATGCAGAGAGCGCCGACGGGCTTCAACACGCAGCCGTACGCCTGCGTGCTGGTGCGCGAGCAGAAGGACCGCGAGAAGCTGGCCGAGGCCATGATGGACAGCAACGCCCGCAAGGTCAAGGAGGCCCCCGTGGTGGCGGTCTTTGCAGCCGACTGCGGTGCGTTTGGTGACAATGAAGTGGGGGGCACTTTGGAGACCAGAGTGTTGATTGACGTGTTGCTGTGGTTGTGCATTGTGGACTTTAGAGCCGAGCAAGCGCGTCCCGCGTCTGCAGAAGCTGGCGCACGACAACGGCGCCCCTGTGGACTTCGTGAGCAATATGCCGCACGTCGTTCGCCTCTTCTCGGGTGAGGGCGTCGTTGCAAGCGGCCTGCGTGCTGCCATTGCCACTGCAGTGTCGCCGCTGCAGCCGGCGCCCTCGAACGTGTCGACGGAGGCGTGGGCCTACAAGCAGACGACGTTCGCGGCTGCCACCTTCTTGTATGCCGCACAGGTGCATGGCCTCGCGACGTGTCCGATGGAAGGCTTTGACCAGATCCGCGTGAGGAACGCGCTCGATATTCCGGACCGCTACGGCGTGCCGGTGGTGATCGCTCTGGGCCACCCGAACCCGGCTGCTAGGCCGGAGAAGCCGTCAGCGAGGCTGGACCCCACCGAGGTGTTCTTTGACGGCAAATTTGGAGACTCGAGCGAGAAGATTTTCTCGGATAAGTAAGGAGGAGGATGGGAAAGGTTGGATGGCGACAATTTCCATCAGCCTCGATTTAAAAGTTACATTGACACGAAGCTGAGGTCCACCTTTTAGATGTACTCGCTTGAATTTTCGTGGTTTCATTATTCAACTCGTCGTTGCACTGGTGGTATGGTTCTTGCCACTCACTTAGCTTTCCTCGGTGAGATACCCTTAGACAATGGCTAAGTGATCGACTGCGATGCGTGCAGTGAGCGCGATGCTTTTAGAATATTGTTGCGGTGAAACGTGAAATCTACGTGCACGTCAAGTAGTAGAGAGTGAGTTCCACACATCAACTACTTCGAAGTATATTTTGTACGTTACAATGAGCATGCCAACCGGGTATTAGCTGCAATAGGACACAGCCGATCGAGCAGGATGTGATGGTGCCAGCTCTTTTACCACACTTTTTCCGCTTAGTCCAGCTTACCAACACCGAAGTAGCTGGTCGTCTCGGCCCACACACTCTCCACCTCGCTGGCTTGGATCGACGTCTGACCCGCCTGGACCGACGACGGCTTCACCGTGCCAGCAGTGGACTGCTCCACTTGCTCCTGCTGCTGCTGCTGCTGCTGTTGCTGCTGCTGGTCCAATCCGCTGGTCTGGGCCGTCTGCTGCTCAGGGCCAGCAGCCTCAGCGGAGTCCGAAGCGAACTTGGCAAACGTAGGGACCGACTTGATGGTCTCCAGAGCGGTTTCGCCGTTGCGCGACGGGAAGATGCCGCTGTTCACCAGGACGTTGGCCTTGCACGCGCGGCCCAGGAACTTGCTGCACTCGTCCGCGCTGCCCGCGGCGTACAGCGCGCCGTCGTTCGTCTTGTTGAAGAGGGGCATCCGCGTGTTGCTGAAGTAGTTGTCCTCCGCGAGCACCCAGGCGTTGGCACCGATCTCGAACGAGTGGCCCGAGTTGTTGCCCCAGAAGTTGTTGGCGACGTGCGCGACGACACGAATGTCAGGCTCGCCGCCGATCTTAGGCGAGCGGCCCGAGGTGCCGTGCACGTAGTTGTTGAGCATGCTGAACTGCGTCGTGCCGTAGAAGATGAAGGACCAGTAGTGGTGTCCGTCGCACGACGCCGAGTAGTCGGTGTTGCCGTCGAAGTCCGAGTTACTGATGGTCAGGGAGTCGGTGCTCGCCATGTTGGTCGTGAGGAACTGTCGGCCGACGTGCGAGACCTTGATGTGGTCGAGCCAAATGTTCTTCATGGCGGTTTTGCCGTGGTCCAGACCCTGGAGGTAGATGGCGTCGCCACCCCAGACGAGGTGTCGGTTGAGCTCCGTGATGTGGATGTTCTGCACGATGATGTTGTCGCCGGCTAGCGTGAGGCCCTTGCCGATGATCACTCCGCTCTTGCCGATACCGCGGATGGTCTTGTTGCCCTTGACGTTCATGCGCTTGAGCGGTGCGTTGTCGTACGTCACCGTGACGCTGGTACCGCCGGTGCAGCCGCCCGTGTTGTTCATGCCTCCCTGCTGGAGGATCACATCCTGGCTCTTGAAGCCGTTGTTCTTGGCCATGCATGCCCGAGTGTAGTCTGGACGGCAGCCAGGCTCGGTGGTGGTGCCCTCCGTGCCACGGAAGTCGAAGGTCTTGTTCAGCACGACCACGAGCGGCTCCGACGAGTTCAAGTACGAGATCAACTCGGTTGTCGTGGTCGGGTACACCGTCTTGCCGGCCGCTCCGCCAGTAGCACCAGCAGCCAGACCGGGAGCCGTGCCAATGGTGAAGGCGTTGGCGCTCTTGGCGACGAGGGCCAATGCGGCGGCGATAGCGAGTTGGAGGCGGCCCATGCTGACGAAGCGAAGGTGTCTTGAGCTTGGTTCGGCGGGTGGAGGGAGGGAAGGTATTGCGTGAGGCTCGGCAAATTGGAGAATGACCGTTGGCTAACGGACTTGAGCGGGGCGGCCTTGACGTCAACGACTGTAGTGCCCCTCCCTACGAGTCGTTGATGAACAGGTAAAGCGGCCACGACTGCTTGTAAACAGCGAGTATCTTTCTGGGTCGCTGTCCCGGCAGTCTCACGATAGAATTTGTGGCGTGGGGAGCTGCGCGTCGTCAGTCTCACCGTGCATCGTTATGGAAATGCAGCCGCATTGAGCGAGCAGGACACAATACATGTAGTGCAGTAAATGCACTTCTCCTGCAAGTCCACGATATCGTATGCTGCACCAGAACCACAGAGGCAATCGGGAGCTGCACTTCGTTGACTGCACGAGTTGGTGACTCCCCGTCTCAATGCACAATCTTTGAATTAAAGATCGATGCCCTGAATCAGTCAGGCATGTCCGCAGGGGGGCATTTTGCAAATCATGCCCCTTTTGCTACTACGGGGTACACCTGGGACTTTTCAAAGGGGTAGCGCCCGATCAGTATTGTATGTCTGTGTATTGAAAACTAGAAAGGGGCACTACGAATATGTAAAAGAATGTATAAGTAATGAACTAGAGTGCTCGGCTTGGAGGGCAACGAGCACTAGACAGCTACCTGCCTGGACAGCTCGTCTGTCAAACGCATGGGTTCAACGTATTGTCGAGATTGCTATTTACCTTCCATCGCGTAGTTGCCAAGTCTACCACGATGTGGGCCCGTCGTACGCTGAGGTCACTCTCCACTGTGTGAGTCCCTGACATCAGTATCGAAATCTTCAACGTGGACACGAACGACACCGGCATCCACGGCGTCATGCAGATCGGCTGCTAGCGCTAGGGCTACTCGAACGGCTACAGGTCCACCTGCCGCAACGTAGGCCGCGGCCACCAGTACTGCTGCTGCGGCGACAACGTTATGATCGACCAGCGTATGAGCAAGTTGAACGCGTGGGGCGCTGACGCGCGCACCAAGATCGCGCAGCAGTCCAAGCAGTCCACGGCTACGTGGAAGATCATCAACTCGCACTACAGCACGTACCACCACTACGCCAAGTGCAAAATGAAGAAGTAGTTCGATCTGCTGCGCGGCTCAGTCATGCACATGTGGCTCAACGGTCACGCACGGCGAGAAGTACGAATACTCGCTATCGCTAGGCATCCACCTCCTCGAGCACGGCGCTGGTGGCGATATCCAGAAGGATTCGGCCAGCGGCAGCCCGTCGTACGCGGCATGCGTGCACAACCTCCATAATTGATTTTGGAACGTGCTCTAGATTTCCGTACACCCAACGCAATGACTTCAGTAACCTACGCCAACCGATACTGACATTCTCCAGGAGACAGCAAGGCTATCATCCTCACGTCACTGATAAAGGGAAAGATGTCTGTTATTCACCGTCAAAAGTTAGTCGACTGGAAGGTAAGCGGTAAGAACGTGCTAAGCATATCTTACGGCAACGGTCCTGTGTGGTGGTCTCATTTCTCTGCTCTCCGACGTCCATGCTTTTAAATAGCACTAACGAATTGTGCGCACTACTTAAGGTGGTTGGCCGTTTTGATCGTGTTCACATTCATAGAGCCGTCTTCCGTGTTCCTCTCGTGTTTAGACTGCATCGTTCGCACAAACTCATCCAGAGCGGGTATTGTGCTTGCGAACCTTGCTTCGCACTGTGAGCGTTGATTCAAGTAGCTGAAGGAAAACAACTAATATAGTAGGAAGGTTTGTATGGCTGGTCGATCATTTCAGAGACTAATCTGAAGTAGATCAATGTTATGAGCAAGGTAATGACACCGTGCCAGTTCTGGTGACTTATTTGCTACTACAGGCATGTCCTGTAGTCCTAACACACGGTACCAGGTCGAAAATGTGACATAAAGTACAGCATATTCCCTTCATCACCAGGATTTCCTTAGTTAAGAGGGGGCACTCTTGGCAACTTTAAAGGGGTATTTCGTTTTTTTCTGTCCACACTACCCCCTCCGGACATGCCTGTGAATCAGAGTCGATACGAAGCCGATCTTTTGAAAGCATTATAAGCATTTGTGAATTGTTTCTACTGTAGATGGCGTACGGAAAGATGGTCTATCATTTTAATTGCCGGCGGTTGCAACGCATATGTAGATAACACACGTCAATGGCACTGGTACAGTACATTGTATTGCCGTTGGGACGGACGACCCCACGAACTTCGCTCCGTCTCGAAGCCGAGCAGCGAAAACGAATTATACGAAAATGATACGGATCTCTTATATTTTATATCCAATATGAGAGAATTTATGGACGTCGTCTCGAAATTTGTTGAAGCAAAGTCGCAAGATACGGCTGGTTACAGATCGAATGATACGTACGAAGTTGTCTGCACTTACGATACCGACGCCACGACAGCGAGTAGGTCCTGGTTGTTCGCCCGCCGTGGCCAATTGCACTATGAGAGTCCGATACAGTCCTAGCATCCGAACTACAGTACGCAACTTAGATAGTTTCAATTGGCACTGCAGCACACTGTACAATATTCGTTACAATCAATACCGTCTGACTCACAGGCACCGTGTCTCTGCTCACATTTTAATTGGACACGTCAATCGATGTTTTACGCGGGCCCCCATCATGCGTAGAGTTCGTCACAGGCCGCCTGCCAAGGTGCTAAAGGGATACACCATCGATCTCGTAATTTGATTCTCGATCGGGGTACTATATGTGCCATTTTCCTTTAGCTAGGGGTTTCTTCGGCCACATCGACTAACGCCCATGATGCGTTTGGTACGTTTCGATCGCCTCGACAAACCGACATCGATACGGACGCAATCCACCAGCCGCAAACTTCGCTCATGTTTTCAAGCGACCTCGCACTATCCACGGTAAAGCAAGATTGTGATAAAAAGGTTGTTGAACTCATTGAGACGGGGAGTCACCAACTCGTGCAGTCAACGAAGTGCAGCTCCCGATTGCCTCTGTGGTTCTGGTGCAGCATACGATATCGTGGACTTGCAGGAGAAGTGCATTTACTGCACTACATGTATTGTGTCCTGCTCGCTCAATGCGGCTGCATTTCCATAACGATGCACGGTGAGACTGACGACGCGCAGCTCCCCACGCCACAAATTCTATCGTGAGACTGCCGGGACAGCGACCCAGAAAGATACTCGCTGTTTACAAGCAGTCGTGGCCGCTTTACCTGTTCATCAACGACTCGTAGGGAGGGGCACTACAGTCGTTGACGTCAAGGCCGCCCCGCTCAAGTCCGTTAGCCAACGGTCATTCTCCAATTTGCCGAGCCTCACGCAATACCTTCCCTCCCTCCACCCGCCGAACCAAGCTCAAGACACCTTCGCTTCGTCAGCATGGGCCGCCTCCAACTCGCTATCGCCGCCGCATTGGCCCTCGTCGCCAAGAGCGCCAACGCCTTCACCATTGGCACGGCTCCCGGTCTGGCTGCTGGTGCTACTGGCGGAGCGGCCGGCAAGACGGTGTACCCGACCACGACAACCGAGTTGATCTCGTACTTGAACTCGTCGGAGCCGCTCGTGGTCGTGCTGAACAAGACCTTCGACTTCCGTGGCACGGAGGGCACCACCACCGAGCCTGGCTGCCGTCCAGACTACACTCGGGCATGCATGGCCAAGAACAACGGCTTCAAGAGCCAGGATGTGATCCTCCAGCAGGGAGGCATGAACAACACGGGCGGCTGCACCGGCGGTACCAGCGTCACGGTGACGTACGACAACGCACCGCTCAAGCGCATGAACGTCAAGGGCAACAAGACCATCCGCGGTATCGGCAAGAGCGGAGTGATCATCGGCAAGGGCCTCACGCTAGCCGGCGACAACATCATCGTGCAGAACATCCACATCACGGAGCTCAACCGACACCTCGTCTGGGGTGGCGACGCCATCTACCTCCAGGGTCTGGACCACGGCAAAACCGCCATGAAGAACATTTGGCTCGACCACATCAAGGTCTCGCACGTCGGCCGACAGTTCCTCACGACCAACATGGCGAGCACCGACTCCCTGACCATCAGTAACTCGGACTTCGACGGCAACACCGACTACTCGGCGTCGTGCGACGGACACCACTACTGGTCCTTCATCTTCTACGGCACGACGCAGTTCAGCATGCTCAACAACTACGTGCACGGCACCTCGGGCCGCTCGCCTAAGATCGGCGGCGAGCCTGACATTCGTGTCGTCGCGCACGTCGCCAACAACTTCTGGGGCAACAACTCGGGCCACTCGTTCGAGATCGGTGCCAACGCCTGGGTGCTCGCGGAGGACAACTACTTCAGCAACACGCGGATGCCCCTCTTCAACAAGACGAACGACGGCGCGCTGTACGCCGCGGGCAGCGCGGACGAGTGCAGCAAGTTCCTGGGCCGCGCGTGCAAGGCCAACGTCCTGGTGAACAGCGGCATCTTCCCGTCGCGCAACGGCGAAACCGCTCTGGAGACCATCAAGTCGGTCCCTACGTTTGCCAAGTTCGCTTCGGACTCCGCTGAGGCTGCTGGCCCTGAGCAGCAGACGGCCCAGACCAGCGGATTGGACCAGCAGCAGCAACAGCAGCAGCAGCAGCAGCAGGAGCAAGTGGAGCAGTCCACTGCTGGCACGGTGAAGCCGTCGTCGGTCCAGGCGGGTCAGACGTCGATCCAAGCCAGCGAGGTGGAGAGTGTGTGGGCCGAGACGACCAGCAACTTCGGTGTTGGCAAGCTCGACTAAGTGGGAGTTGTGTGGTAAAAGTGCTAGAGGCACCGGCATCCATTTGATTCACAATGACCCCAAGTAGGATGTACTGGTATCACAAGTTGTAGTTACCGATCGTATGCATTCTAACGTACAAAATATAGTTGTTTGATACTTTGTCGAAAAAGGTCGTATGCATTCTAACGTACAAAATATAGTTGTTTGATACTTTGTCGGGAAGGTTTAACCAATGAAGTCAAAGTTTGCAGGAGGAGTGTGTCGCTTTGACTCGGCGCGTGGATCCCCGACGGATCGTCCTATGAAGCGCCGCACAACTTGTACGCGGCCGCTTGAAAACACCACCGGTCTTCGGGACAGGAGAGTTTGGCGGCTGGTGGATTACAGTCCGTATCCACGTCATTTCGCACGAACGTGCTGTGCATGTATGTACAGTACCAGCATTGGATGCATGTTGGCAGGGAACACCGTATCTAGTCGAGGGAAACTCAATTTGTCGTTGTAGTCGACCGAGCTTCGCCATTTTCGCTTTCTATCGGACCATGATGCTATAATACTACAAGGTTTGGCTCTCACAATGCACCTCTCCTCCTTCCCTACAGCTCCCAGGCAAGCAAGCTATCTATCTAGATACCTGTGACGAACTTCAGGCTGGAGGGGTCTGAGAGTGCTTACGTACACAGTCTTTTTTTGATGGGGGTGGTGAATGTGATATAGAAGAGGACCAATGGAGGCTCGCGGTTGCGAGGAGCGTAGCCGCAGCAAACCCGCGCGAGGTGCCCGCGTAGCAGGGCCGCGCGGTATTTGCGGAGGCGGGCCCAGCGACGAGCATTCCAGCGAGCCGAGCACTGTTCTCGCCAGGTGAGAGAATCTTTTTATCGCAGGAGCGCAGCGACTGCCTTTGCGGAGCGCAGCGGAGCAAAGCCATTTCCCGCGGATGACATCCGTCCTGCGGGAAGGTCGTCACATTGTGGGGTGATGGGCTGCCTATACAAACTCCAAGATATCACCGAAAATAGACTGTGTACGTAAGTCCTGCCGGAGGGGTCTAGTTTCTCTTCTCGGACGGTCGAACAGAAGGTATCGACTGAGACAAGGTGTCTCTTGTGAGTCAGACGGAAACCGAGGAGAGATCAGCTATCCACAACCACAAGCGAGCGCTGGCTGTACCGAGCGGGCGGGCGCCTCGAGCTCGCAGATTCTGACGCTGTCGATAGCAGGCTCTCGTGCTGCAGTACAGCAACCTTTTACAGCACGGCGATCAACCAAAACAAACAAACAACTATAACATGCATATCGTGCTGTACAGTAGCTGTATTTGTGAGTGCACTGCCTCACGCAAATCGTATCCTTCGATCTGCGCCAGCCGTATTTTGCGACTTGGCCTCAACAACTTTCGCGACGACAGGGTCGATACTTTCATATTTGGTACGAAATATCATATTTCATATTTCAAATATGACAAGCGGTAGGGATTTTCCCAAACTAAGACGGGTCCGCAGTGCGGACTCCGCAACAAGGATAACCTTGCCGTTTCAAGCGCGCACAACCTGCTAAAACAAGGTGAAGTGGCTCCTGTGAACTGTGAACATCAATGATTTATTTTTCATCTCCTACTACCACACTATATGCAAACATCTATCAACTCTATGACACGATAGTTGCCGTACTTGGCAGTAGTGGGTCGCGGCACATTACGCCGGCAGTTTTTTATTTTCATAATTTCTTACCGTAATTTACCTCCGAGAACGGTGCTAGAACGATCTTTGTGGATAGTCGTCCGTTTTACCTACACGACCTCTCAACCACCTCAGAGCTCGAGGAGGCGTCCGTTAGCCAGCGACCAGACGCGCGACCCTGTAGTCGTGCAGGATCGCACATGCGAGGGTAAGATGAAACTCCCAATAATTACTGGCACATTACGACGTCATTTTCAGAATTAAAATTTTTTCAAAAAAATTAAGAGGCTATGTATATAGATATCCACACATTGAACATGACGATCGAACTATCTTTCGGAAAATACAAAGGTCAATCCATTGAGGATGTATTCAAGAATGATCCTGGATACTGTCGTTGGATTCACAACCAACCCAGTCTCAACATTAGCGAGGAAATGAAAATCTTTCTTCACTCAAGATTCCTAAATAACGATAACTCCTATATGATGACGTGGGGTAAGTGTCGAGGCAAATCTTTACAGCAGATCAGTAAATTGGATCCAGACTATCTCGATTGGCTAAGAAAAAGTCAATTCGTGATTGACAAGTGTCCAAAGCTACTCAAGGAACTGAACTAAAAAATATCTCTTTTTTTACTTACGCTGTAGTGAAGTCTAGAACCTCTCCGGTTAGTCTATCGAACGTTAGTACCTGTTCGCTAATTACGAGGATCAGCATATTCACACCTTGGCATCCGGCGTTCGTACCTTGGATCTGAATAGCCTGAGGTACATCGCGCTCAGTCAGGCGACTGACATCGGCAATAAGCATGCGGTTTGTGAGCGACCACGTCTGATAGTCAAGTAGACCATTTACGAGCTCAGGGGTTAGATCTCCGTTAATCGCTGAAATTTTAGCAATTGCGTTGGTAAAGTGGTGGAAATCATAGTCATGACTGATATCGAACACCTGAGTCGAGCCAATACGAACGTTAAAGTTGCGAATCGACGACCCGGACTGAAGCGTGTATGGAGAGCTATCGAAGGGACTCTAGAACTGCTGAACAGTAGCAGAAGCAAAGTTGTTTGTCTGTTCCGCGAATGGTAAAAGCACAACATATTTCGCGTTTTTAACACTTGCCGATAGCTGTAAATCGAAAGAAGCATTTAGTTGAGTCGAGGACTTATTAATACCAGCACGCTGGTAAAACCACTGTGCGTAGCAATCATTGTAGCGAACCTTCTTAACCGGCTTAGAGATAATAGCTTGAGGGTTCTCAAGATGAACGAAAGGGGCATAAAAACGAGCAGTAGTAAAAGGCATGTATGTACCATCGATGGTAGGTTCAAGAGCATTTACAACCGCTCCCCAAGCAACACTAAAGCCAGCAGATGCGGCAAGCACACCATTCATCGGATTACCGGTAGCAGAAGCGGCAATCATGACCGGACAACTATTACCAGACGATAGAGTAGTAGAGGTTAGCGACATACCCTTTGAAGCATCTACCGCGACTACAGACGTTCCCTGATTCACACGGAAACGCAGGCGAATTTGAGGGTTAGCCATCAAGTCAAGCTCACGGAAGATAGCATGCAGATCGGTGAGCTTAATCTTAAGCATGTAGTTCCACGTTCCCATGATTGCGTTAGCAGCAGTACCGCCAGCTACGAAAGCTCCACGCGAGGTCTGGTTAGAAATGGTAGTCGATGCAGCAGCACCACCTACCGACGGCCACGAGCTGGAGAAGTCAGCGCCAGCCGTAGGAGGATTCGATAGAAGGCGCTTAACGAAACCATCATTAGGAATAGTTGCACCACCAGAAGGAGCCGAGACAGCAAAGGAAGACGAGAATGCCATGGTGTTTGAATATCCATCACCACTGGTAGATGCGGATCCAGAACTGTATGATACCGACTGAGCAGCGTCAGGGTACAAGAACGATTCAGCTCCGTGCTTTTCAACGTACTGAGGGCTGTAGACAGTCTGAGCACGAACGTTGTTCCAAAAGAGCTTGTAGTCAGCCATAGAGACGATAGTCTTTCCGTTGAGTTCCAGACTCAGACTATCAATAACGTTCCAATTTCCGCATTTTAGAGTAGCACATAGACGATTGGCAGCGGCAGTTTGAGCAGTGCCACCATTCTTCATTGAGACCTTGTAGGGAAGCATAATGTAGGCATCACGAAGGCTTGCGAAGCCCTCGGAACAGTTAAGCTGAGCCGTAGCATCGATAGTGATGACACCATTCTGGTACGAACCCTGATTTAGGTCAATAACGTGCGGTACACGCTTGCTCGAAGATACCTTGATCTCCGGGTCGCTCTTAAGCGAGCTCTGGTACAAGTACTGATCGGATAGTTGAGTTTCGCTCATCGTTGAATCTATATGGATCCTAATATAGTTTGATAAAATTAAATATTATGTCGCACCTCATCAAGCCAATCACCTCAGATCATGATCTCATCGAACTCGCTGAGAAAATGAACGTTCAACTCGATAATATATTCGAATCAAATAAGATAAAGTCCCATCTCCCCAAGAAAGGGTCCTTTCTGATTCTACTTCGCCCTCCTAATCTTGAGGTAGGACACTGGACGGCGGTTCATAATGGTGAATTCTTCGATAGTATGGGGGAAGGACCACCAAAGAAGTATGGTATCGATCGATACAACACCAAGCAATACCAAGGAACCTATGGAGACTACTGTGGACCATTATGTGTCCTATGGCTATATTCGAAGCAATACCGTAAGCCAGATGTATTCAAAACAATGAAAGATCTAAATATGACAATTCTGGAATAAATTTAATTCAACGTATATAGTAATCATGTATCGCGAATTAACAATCTCCAGTGATATTCCTGCGCGGAAGCTTACCAAAGCTGTCAAGACTGGTAAGCTCAGCCTCACCTCAAGCGAACTAAAGGGTAGTGGTTCAGTCATCCATCTCCACCCTGCTTCGTTTGAAATGGCGCTCAAGGCTCGTAAAGCTGGACGCGGTGTCAGACTCGACATTACCAAGCACGAAGTGAAGAAGGGCTACAAAAAGGCTCAAGGAGGCTCTATCTGGTCCAAAGTATGGGGAGGGATCAACTCTGCATAGAAATTTGCTAAGGATTCAGGTCTACTACCAGAGCCGTTGATGCGGCGGTTCCTGCTTTAGCTACTTATGCTGGTCAGCCGACGGCTGCTGTTCCAGCCAGAGCTGCAATCAAGTCCCTAACCGGCATTGGTATTTATGATTCCGATAGCGACAAGGAAGGAGGTCGCGTATCAATGGCTGACGTAAAGAAGGCTGCAAAGAATGCTCTTGCATACACGAAGCGCAAGGGGGTCATCACCGACGCGGTCGATGCTGGAAAGAAGTTCCTACTATCAAAAGCTACCAAGCCGGAACATGAGGATCTAATCAGATCTGTGCGAAAGGAGGTTCGTCGCCGCTATGGTGTAGGCGTAGCAAAGAAACGTCCAGCGAAGGGTTCGCCAGAGATGAAGGCTAAGATGGCTGCGCTCAGGGCACGTCGTAAGACTGGTGGTTCGTTTACGTTGTAGCCGCCCTAAAAAAATACTCTGGATGTCTTATTTTTTTGGACGAATCAGAGGATGATGGATACCGACGTATCTCTGAAATTCACTTTTTTATCATTTTGGTTATAGATACTGAGTGTAATACTAGCTCGAGCGCCATTATGACAGTTCATCCACGCATACTGGCTCGGTTTGTATGAGATGACCTTTCCAATAGCGGTATCACCTCTATCAAAAGCACTGACAATATCACCAGAAGCCACGTATTCGTTTTTGATCAGATCGCAACGAACGATGTAGGAACTGGTCGGGTGAATCTGAGGAATGATGTTCGATAGCTGAGCACTTGCAACAGTAGCTGATGTGGAGGGGTATGTACCCACTGTGAGACCAACTACTTTACCGAATTCAGCATTATCGATGATCAGTCGAGGAACGCGAGTAGTAGTCGGCAATCCAGTACCACCAGAGGAGTATAAACCGGAGGTAGGTCTGGTCCATGTTCCACCGGTAGTTGGTAGAGTTGTAGGCGTAGGAGAGAAATCAAGCTGACAAGCGTAATAGACACTGTTAGCACTCATTTTGATATAGAATACGTTATTCCCTGACGGATCGATTAGATACGCACCAGCATTGACAAGAGCAGTCTGAATGCTTCGGTTGATATCCTCATACGAATAAATACCATCAGGGAGGGATACACTGATTGTGGATGTAGTTGCAGCGGTAGGTACTTCGATTTTGAACGTTGTGTTCTGAAATTGCATTGAATCAATGTTATACTCGCTGATATACATCGAAATCGATTGAATGGCACATACTACATCGCGGAAGTCAGCCGCCGATCCGGGAAAGGAGTATTTCCAGGTTGAATTGGTTCCATCTTGTACCAGATTGGTGCTGTCGAGTTTGATAAAGCTGGACATATTGATTATATGTTTGTAGGCATATTTTTGTTTGATAAATTGGAATTAGTCCTCGATACGAATCGGTCTATCGAAGTTATACCTGATCTGACCCTTGACCGAATCAATGAAGAGCATTTGGCCCTTTCGCTCCGTGGCTTTGTTGTAATAATAGACGATTGAACGCTCATCTACTCCCTAGATATTAAAATCTTTC